ATCACTTCTGTGTCGTTTTATATTTTTTTTTTTTTTTTTTTGATAACATCGTTTTATATTTTCAATTGGTTGTGATTTAGATAAAATTACTTAAATTTTGCCTTTTCGCTTTCTTTTTGTGAAAAAAATAGGATAATCTTTTTAATTTTCATTTGTTGTGAACACTTAATTTTAACCGGCTCATTTTACTATTTATTATATATATTATGAAAAAGGAATAGAATAAAAAAAATAAAAAGATAATCAGCATGTTATATACATAATCTGTCCCTTCTTTTGCTCGGTCAACTCTTTGAATCAAATACAAAAAGGTGAAAGCTAGTTAAAGGTTATATTACGGAAAATATCATGTATCAACTCTCCCAAAAATATAATTGAAGGTATATAAATGATTTAATTAATTATATTTATAACAAATATATATTATAGCTAACATGCAAGGATTAAAGAGAAATGAAATTGTTTAGAAAAAAAAAAATAGATGCTCGAAATCGGGTTTCGTCATCGGAGCTTCATCAAACATCACAAAAAGCAAATTTTTGATCGATTTTCATCACAAAACAATCCAGAAGTAACAAACCAAGATGATTCTAATATAATTAAGAGTAAAGTCCATTTTGAATCCCTAACAAAAAAATATGATCCTACTTTAGTCCCTTACAAAAAAAAATTAGTCCCAAAATTCTTAAGAAATTCAATAACATAGATGTCTTGATTTGATTTAATTCAGAAAACTGACTTGTTTTCCTGATTTTTCTCTCATTACCAATAGGATCTTAATACTGTAGTGATAGTATTCAGATACTTTTTCAATAAATTTTCTGAATCCTCCAACAATCTGACGATAAATGAAAACTTTGGATAGTCGCGGTATGTGAATGTCAAACTTCTTTGGGTCACAAATGTTATGATTTACATGCTGTAGTAGTTTACAGGTCTTGCATTTTTACTTGCTGTACTTGATTTATTTATTTGATAAAAAATTGTGGGTTCGGAAATTTGATGTCTGGATATACTTAGAACTTTCGGTTTGATTTAAATTATGAACACTATCACATTAAATTGGTCAATTCAGTTTCACTACTCCTGATAAGTACTTTTGCTTAAATCGTCGAACACTTGGCCACATGTAAATTTTTAGCTGCATGATTCGATTTTATTGCTGAGTGAATTACCACTGAAATTGTTGAGCAGTGCATTGTGTTTGGTCATTGACTTAATCTGTTTTGAGTGTACACTGTTAAAGTAGTGTCTGAAATACATTTGATTTTCATTGGTTGGTTAAAGTGAACTGAAAGAAAATTATGTTTTTATTAAATACCCTGCACTTGACGTATAGGTTGTTTAAACCTTTTGATTCGTACATTTTGTTTATGCCATACTCCCAAATTTATTCAGTAATGTTCATCATTTCCTCATTGTGCTGCACCGTATCTGAATCCAAAAGAAAACTATATTTTGCTATAAATACCAAGCCTTGAAATTGCACATATCCACTATCTGATTTGATTAAACTATTCACGGAAAAACAGTGGGGCTATAATTTTCTGGTTTTAGGTTAAATTTTGGGATAAACCATTCTCTTGATGTAATTGCATGAGTGCTCAAATTCTAGATAAAGATTAATATGAATTTTCTTACCTTCTGTCCGCGTTTGTTGGGAACTGTTAGTTATTTTTTTATGCCACTAGAGCTAGTACTAATTAAATTCTCCTGTTATACTTTATAGTTCTTTGGATGTTTAACCTAAAAGCTGATTATGTGATTTAAAGAGTTGAACTTAACGTGAACACCCTGATGTTGTTTAATTGCTGTCTAATCAATATAATATTTAATCTGTGACTTAAATTCGTTGCCGTGAATTCCACGCTTGAAAGTTGACATTTGTTTTGTGTGTACATCATGATATATTATTATTATTATTATTATTATTATTATTATTATTATTATTGAGACGTTCTTATCGAATAGATGTAATACTGCTTGTATGGATGAGATTAGCCAATTGTTTAAAGGACTTTAATTTGGTGTTTTCGTGCATGAGGCCTCGTACCGTAAATTTTATTTGTCCCTTGAATGCAAATTTAACTACAGCTAGGAACTTTGAATGCGATTATTGTGAACTTGATTTATGAAATGCTTGGTCTGTTTTGATGGGTTACGTCTGATAGCTGTTTCAAGATTGTGATATGTGTTAATGATTGGAAAGTTCATATCATGAATAATGGATCCTCTGATCAGTGGAGTCAATTACATCCGAGGTACCTAGGACAGCGGAAAGCTCGAGGAAGTTTCCTCATATGGGTGTTTTGATGAACTGTATGAGGGGGTACCACTTCACATGATATGTATAAAAGGTAGGATAGAAGTTTTGTGATTTTACGAAAATTCTTCTCATTTGAAATGTAGAATGTAATGTGCTATGTTTTACTTGCTTGATTTCCTGAAGGATAATGAAAATAGAATTTTGTCTGTGATATTTTTAGGTAAGGTGACTAATGTAGAAACCTGAATATAATGCATATGTGTTATGTGTTTAGCGAGTGAACTGGACCGTTATTATTGATAAGAATCAAATAGGAGGTGATGGCACTTCTAAGAAGTTGTAACATGCATATTACAAAGACGAAACATTTAAAATTGGAGATCTTAGTTAATTAGCCCTTATATTGGCACTGGTAATAGGAGGTAATGTATTTCATTGTTAATGGAACTCTTCATCCTTAGGAACCTTTTGATTTAGGCCACTGACTTGTTGATTGCATTTTCATATGGAAACATTTAAATTTATGATCGGTTGATTAGTAGTAGGGTGTGACATCTAGGGTGAGTGTTGATATAGGAATTTTGAGGAGCCACCTGTTTATTGTTATGTTCTATTTCCTGTGTTGCAATCCTGAATCGGGTGAATAAAATTCTATTCACTTATGCCCCACTAATAATGTTATTTAAGTTACTTAATGAATAGTGTTTTGTGAATGGATTTATTCAGTTCGCCAACCAAATATGTGCTAGAGCTATGAGCTTCATGATAAATGTTGAAAGCTGGAGTTATTGGTTGGTAAGCTTATACGTCAGTTTTACGTCATTTTGTGGGAGCAAGATTTTTTATGTTGATAAAAGGATAACCAGGGATTTGTTTTGTTACGAATAAGTTTAGAAAAGTTTTATCTCCTTCCGGTGAGTAAAGCGTGTATATATATACCCCTGATGAATAGGTAAGGTGCTATCTGTTTGTAGTTACCGGGTCAATGTACAATGACTTTATAGAGGCCTACTTGGAAGTAGCCTAATGTAGTGTATGAATGAAATCGTATAGACATTTTAAATCAGCAGCTTTTGGGATGGTAAGACGAAGTTTTGGGATAAACTTCAAAATTTGGTAGGGAGAGTGTAACACCCCGAAAAAAAATTAGGAATGTATACAAACTACCATTAGTAAGATAATACATGTTTGAACTCGAAATATATATTTATGTTCAGGGTGGAATAAATTCAAGTTGGAAATTTAATTGTGTGCATGCATGCTATTAGGAATTAAGAAGGGATATTTTCTGAATTCGAATATTGTTTATAAGTATGTAATTGATTTTAGCTCCATGAATTAAACCTTTAGTAAATGATTAGAGAGTGACATAAAATAATAATGCATGAGTTAGTCCATAAATAGGAGAGTCGTTAAACATAAAATAATAATGCATGAGTGACATAAATTCAATAGTTCCTACAGTTATATGCTACAATCAGTCATTCTTAACATTAATATTCAACAACTAATTCTCACTGTCATTAGTGGCGTCTTAGATGTCTAGGACTTTATCTTTGAAATTCGAAGCTGCTCCTCCTCCAATACATAATTGGCTTAAGCAAAGTTATAAAGGAATTTTCAAAAGGCTCTAAATTATGTCAAGGAATAATATAAAATAATAAAGTACCCTCCACCAATGGTTTGACTTTTTTAGGTGAATTAGTTTTTTACATGTTATGTTATGAGGATGAATTTTAGCGGTGATATTACGAGATCAATTCTCATTATGCATGTGACAAAGTTGTATGGCATTTTAGCATGCCCCTTTTGCATAAAGTCTACAAGGAATACAAATTGGAGGAAAAATAATTTAATCTGAGAGGCTCCATTTAAGATGGAATTTCACTTTGCAAATATGCATGCTTAAATATAATTCTATCCTTTCACAATTAATAATAACATTGTTCGCAAAATTCCAATTATTAAGTATATATATGAAAATTCATAATCAGGGGTAGATGCTTATTTACCGTTTCCTTAGTTAATACGGTAGACGAAAAATGAAAATGTTGCATATATACTATATAACAACTCTCATTATCAAGTCAGGTTAATTAAGGAAATCAAGCATGAGTTTAGTAGATTAAGTTGTGTTTAAGGAAATTATGACAAATTATGTCAAGTAATGGTTCATTGATCATGAAATTATCATGACAAGATATGCAAGGATACAATTCATGCCAAGCAAGTCTAATAAAACCTTAATATTAATAACTAATAAGCTTTAGGGTCAAAATGTAATTATAAGAAAGTTTAGGGGTTTAATTTTAATTAAACATAAACTAGTCTAAATTTTAATTAGATGATGTAATTAAATTCCTTGGAGAATTTTAAGAACTTTAAGGGGTTTTAGTTTTGTTTAAATAAGTCCAGATTAATTCTTAAAAATAGGATAAAGTGTAGATTAAATTAATTAGCAGAAGAAATTAATGTGTTAGTCTTGAAAATTTTACTACTTTTAAGTTATTAATACTTGTTGGTATAGTAATTAAATAAAATAAAAATCTGACCCTTTTATGTTCCCTCATCAGCGCACAAGGTGGGGAGGATTTAGAGAGCTATTATGTTAGCCAATAAGAAACCACCACCTTAGGAAAATAGCCTTGTAAGTCAATAAAGAGGATTGATCTTTTAGTGCATCACTTGGACGGTCATCAAAAGAGAAAAGGAACAAAAAAAAAATCTGCACTTGTCTTCTTCAAAACCGTGGCATGCTTGGAAGGAAGGGTGATGAGAGAACATGGTATTCTAGTGTTTAAATCATCTAGCTCCTTTGAGAAAAAATATTCCTTAGTGAATGAAGAGTAAAATCTTGTGTTTTTTCCTTCTTGAAGAGATCATAGGAAGATGCTTTCTTCTCTTCTCCATGCGCATATCAAGCTGTCCTCTTGGTGTGATGATGGATTTTCATGCCTTTTTGAAGTAAAATTGAAGTAGTAGTCTTCTAGTGGTGTTTAAGGTAACTAAACTACCTTTCCTTAGTTAAATTACATGGATTTATTATTAGGTTTATGAAATTGGGGGCTGAGTTGTGAAGTTAATATCATGTTATTTATGTTATAGTATGATGAAATCTTGATTGTTTTCAAGTCCTTAAGTGGGATTAATTGATGAAGCTTTGGTTGAATGATTGAAATCTCAAAAGGGATGAGTTTAATTGATCCTATATGGTTCAGATTTTGTATGTAAAAATGTGCACACCAAGTGTTTGATAACATGGCTAAATGAAATAAAAGATAGTATATCAAGTGATAGAAAAATTGAAAGAGAATTCATTAAACCTTAAACTAGACAAAGCGGTCATCATGTGATAAAATAGGTAAATTATGTGTTTAATTATGTATATCAAGTGTTTGATGTATTGCCTAAGTGGAATCATGAAATTGGAATGATTTTATTAGGATTTAAGTGAAGAAAATGGTAATTAGTTTATAAGAAAATTGATGAACTTTAAAAGGAAAATTCAGCCTAGCATGAATAAGATACACAGAGATGAGTTTAATGATATTATGTTAAGTTAAGAATATGTTTTTAGTGGTAAGATTATGGTTCATTCATTAGAAGTTGCATTAATGAATGAAATTCGTGAAATTCCTTTTGTTATGTAAGCTTCGGCCATTGAGCTTTAAATTAGGCTATGAGATTGTTTTAGAGTTTCTCATGAAAGATTAAGGTATGTTATGTGCTATGGTGATGAGAGAACAAAGTTTAAATTACTTTGACATTTTATGGTGTAAAAGAAACGTATGGATGTAAAGGTTTTAAGTGTTGTCAGAATTTTATGTAGTAATGAGCTCAGTTTTAGAAAAATCATATCTCAATCAATTCTTAACCAAATGGCTTGTGTCAGGTACCAAATTGAAGCCTAGGATGTCTAGTTTCTTGTCCTAAAATATGAGAATTTTATGAACTCACGTTACAGTTTTCAAAAAAAAATTAGTGGGTCTTGTTCGTTCCCGTTTCAGTTTTGCAGCAAGCAATAGTGAGTTTGCGAAATTCATATCTCCTTCGTTACTTAACGAAACGGGACAATTCTTGTGTCAAATTAAAGATTAAGATGTATAGTATTTGTCATAAAAATTAAAGAATAAACTGGGCAGTATATCATTTCAGAATAAATAAATAGTCCGCGACCCTATTCTAGTGACGTTGGGTTTTCAGTTCACTACTTACGGCGGACGTATCTTGGGCTGTACTTATGAGAATAAGGCTTATGATATATCATTGGAAAGCTTGTGACACTTAGATTATGATGGTTAAGTATAAGAATATTAGGAAAATTTTGGTTGGATGAGCATGAATTGGTGTTGTGTTTTAACTTGGTTTACAAGTGGATTGATGATCCTATATGTGATCGTTGTAGGTTGCCTCCCACGGACGTGATCCTGCTTGGTGGATTGCCTTTGGTCCTTGACCAAAAGGATTTAGACATTTCTGAGTGGACAAAGTTACAGCAAAACTTGCATTGGAGCTACCTAGCTTAGAAGCTTCAATAAGGTAATCCCTTGGTACTGGGGTTTAGTCCCCGTGTGTGCTCCACCATGCCTCTTGAAGTTAGTGGTTGGAGGTGTATGTCGGTAGTATAGTATAACATGATCATGCATATTTGTATGTATAGTGGTACATAGGATGTACCATGTCTCTGGCCAGTAGACTGTTGCCTTCGGGCGTTACGGACTTCCACTGGATAGGTCTCCATGAGGGAGTTCCAGTTGACCTAGGGTCGTGGTGTGTCATCCGTAAAGGAGCACACTAGGAAGTCTTGGATGTATATGGATGAAGGTTGCCTTGGTTGATGTTTTGGGAACACTTCCTTGGATGAGAACCCGTAGGCTATATGCCGAGGCCAATAGGCCGAATGTTGCGTGGCTTTGGCATTGAACATCCAGCTTCATCGTATTTTGACTCCCTATGCTTCCCTATTTCACTAAATCCCTTGCTTTATCCCTTTTTGAATGTTGTAATATATTATTGGTATGCATCTGAGTGAGCCATTAGGCGGAGTAATCTCCAGAACCTCTGGGTTACTGAGATATATTTGTATATCTCACCCCGTTTTGGGGACTTTACAGGTAGTGGCAGTGGCACTGGAGCAGCGGGCAAGAGGCCCGTAGGATGAGCACGAGGGCTTGAGTCTATGTTGCATTTTTGTGGCCATTGGGCCTAGACTAGACTTAGGACATGAACATTGTATGTGAGCTAGGATTATTCATATTGTCATCTTTGTTCATGTCATATTTTGTCTAAGTTTAGTCATTATTTCTCATGATTTATTTTGAGGATTCATTATATTATATTTGAAGGATTGTTGTAAATTGTAATATTTAGACTTTGTGTAATATTGAAGCATGTTATATGATGAAAGGACAATAGGCCTATTCTGGGAAATGATTTATGTTTTATGTCAAAAGAATGCAGGCAAAGGAATTAATGTGATTGAAACAAGTTAACTTGAGAAAGTAAGTGTGGATTATGTATATTGAATAAATTGATACTAAATGTTAAGGGTTGTAAGAGCACCAAGACATTGCTGGTCCTTGAGTGCCACCCATGTTTATTAGGTACCATTTGAGGATAGATAACACACTTTTAAAAGTGGGATATGTTGGAAAAATACAGGAGACTGGCGAAATTTCTATAAAATGACAGATTTTGAGTGATTTTTGGGAGAGCATATCTCCCTCCACAAAAGTCCAATAGGGACGTGCCATACACCGTTTTGAAGATTGAGATGTCAAATACCTTGTGTCAACACTTTTGAGCCATAGGAGTAGCACGCTGCCTTGTAGAAGCCAGTGAACACAGACTGCCCAAAAATCCCCTGCACTTGGGATTGTCACTGTCTGTTTTTGGAAAAATTATTCCTACTTCAATTCTTGGTCAAATTAGGTTCATGATATGTCAAATTGAAGCTTGAGATGTCTAGTTTTCTGTATAAAATTTGAGAGCAATTGATGGAGTGGTTTGTCCGGAATCGCTCAAAGAGTGAGGGCTGTTTGGAGAGCAGTTTGAGGTTGGCTGGCATATTTGCTTGTCCAACTTCAAACGGTGATATCCGGAACAAACGAGAACTTTTTGGAGCATGTAATAGCTTGTTGGAAAGATAATTAAGTCTAGAATAACATACTAAAAGATGAGAGGTGCGCGACAAGTGGATTTTCCGTAGTAACCAAAATACAGAACCATGTTTGGATAGTTAAAAACCGTAAAAGGGAAATTTAGGCTAAGTGGGTGTATGGGAACCCCTTAGTGACTTGAGAGAAGTATTATATGATATTTAGGAAATTTATATTATTATTTCGCAATTAATTTTCAGTTACGATCACAGATTTTATTCATCACGCTTTATTATTGTTTTAAATGCTCGCGTAATAAAAAGGCAAAAGTTTACTCGCATTTTTTATAAATGAATTGCTGTGATTGTAACTGCGCTTAATATCATAATCAATGTTAGCAATACCGGTACGTAAGGAGCTGTTACATACTATATATATAAATCACATCTTATTAATATAAAATTCCAACTATTTACCAAAAAAAAAAAAAAATTCCAATTAATATGTTTAGGATGAACAATGAAAATACTGCATATATATATAAAAATCACTCCCCATCAAATTTCACTCTTACATTACAAAGAAGCATATATATCACCGGCTCACACTCTTGACAACGCTGCATATATACTATAGATAATCACAGCTTATTACTACACAATTCCAAACAACATAGAGAAGTCCAAAATGTATATGACATTTCAAGACTAAAACAAGCACGAAGAAAAATGGGGAGCTGTTGAAACAAACTGAAAGAGTTCTTAAAGCAAATCTCTCGCAATGAGAATTGTAAGCAGAAAGGCAAGGAGTCCACCCATCACTGCATGATTACTAGTGAGTCCACCCATCACTGCATGATTTTTAATGATCTCAACCGGAACGTAGTCAATGATTAACGATCCTTTTTGAGCAGCAACACCCGCAACTAAAACAATTAAAAAAGCTGTGAACAATGTGAATTTGATTGGTGAAGCCATACTTGAAACGACCTGAATATAACTGTTTTGAATGTATAGATTTCTTCAAACTGCTTCTGGCTTGAATATAGTTGGTTTAGGTGGGTTATATAGTAGCATAGCCCGTGGACTTTTTTACAATAATAAATAAGCATATCCATGGCTCTATATGTTGTAATTATTGAATGAAACTTTCGAACCCTATTTTAACAGATAAAATATTATTGACCAACCAAGAAGAAAAAAAACTACAATGCATCATTTGCATTCATGTTTGGACAAATTTATATATAAAAAAATTGATTGAAAGTTATATACCAAAATAAACAGCTAACGATTCGGTAATCAATGTTTAATATTTAAATAAACATCCTAGCCGGTGAAAGAATGAAAACTGCATGCAACACCTTTTTGCTAGGAACTTATCATGCCTGAAGCTTTGAAAGTTGTACGTAGAATGGTAATGATAATACATAAACTTTTGTGGGTCAACTATATCATAAGAAAAATCAATATAATATGCAACGGTCGGCTGTGGCCCGTTTCAAGATCTAAATATGCGGAACATATCTGCTACGGTTTTTCAATCTGTTTTTTCAAGCTTAATTAGCACAAAGAAAGGAACATTTAGTGCCCGTTTGATCTCTCTCTTTTTTAAGCTACAAGCTACTTATAAGCATAAGCTAGGTCAAACAGGTTTTGGGAAAAGCTCTTATAACGAAAAACTCTTTTTTTTATAATGAAGAAAAAAGCTGAAAACTAAAAGATTGTAGGAGGAGCTTTTTTTTAAGCTCTTATCTGTTTTTCTTGAATTGTGTGTTTTTTTTAAAATGAAGAGTGATAAAGATAATAAGAGATAATTTTCTTGAAATATGTGCTTTTAAATAATTTTTAAACTAAAACTTTTATGTAATTTCCAAACAGCTTTTAGCTTATTTTTTTAAGCTCTTTTTTTTAATTTTAGCTTATAAGTAGCTTTTAGCTTAAAAATAAGAGGATCCAAATAGGCTCTTAGGGTTAAAAGAGTACCGAACATTTAGTGTATTCTTTTTCAAATATGAAAAAAATAAATAAAAAATTTACACTACTTCTGTCTTTATAATTATTTTCTATCATATCCTCCTCTCTCTTTTTTAATAAAGGAATATCTATTCTGGTAGCATAAAAAATATCCTCCGACCCTTGTCTGCACAGCTGTTTCAAAATGAAAAGAAAAACATAGTTTGGAGCCTGCATGAAGGGACCACTACAGGAAACAAAAGGAGGATGAGATGACCTGTCTGGTGCGTGCGCGGGTCCTACACCAACCGTCAAAGTATTTAAAGCAGAGAGACGTTGCCGTCTAAACGCATATTAAACTCAAATTAATATGATTAACTTAAAATATTAATTCATTTTATAAGAATTATTACCCTCACAATAATATGAAGTGGAGCCTATAAATCAACGAGTCTTGGCTCTCTCCAATAACACAACACAAGATAGCAAAGCAATTTACACACTCATCCACCACCCTCTCTAAGTATCTATTGTCTTTCTTTACATCTCTTTGTGTCTGAGAAAAATGGCACAAATTAGCAAGAGCATAGGAGTATTTTTCTCCGTGGTGTTTGTTGTGGGGCTTGTGTTTGCTACTGGGGCTTGTGTATGAGAATATGCCCCACACACCGACTCACAACGTCTCACTCCCTATCAAAATGTACGACATGTTGTTTCCGTGCTCTTTAGTACAATGACTGATAAGGCTAGCTAGGGGTGTTAACGGGTCGAGTCGAGCTGAGCTTTGGTCTTAAAAGGTTAAGTCTATGTTTAAATGTGTCTTAAAATACTAAGTCTATGTTTAAATGTGTCAGCCTGATCAAACCCCCTGTTACCTATCATAAATATAACTATTGGCCTGTAGCCTGACTTATTTACAAAAAATAAAAGCTTTGTTTAGTCTGTTTAAAAAATAAGACAACAAAAATTTATCCAAACAGAATATACAATCAACAAAACTAGTAATTCTATGAATATTCATAAATTCAATTTATATCCAAACATAATATAAAACAAAATCATTCAAAAAGTCTGTTTAACTAATAAAATGAAGTGAAATGGATTGAGGAAAAAGAGAGGACTATTACAAGTAGTATAAAAAATATAAAATATAAATAAAAAATAATATACTAGGCCAGCCTGAGAGGCTTTTTAAATTGGAGCCTGAGGCCTTTTTATTAAACGAGCTTTTATACATATCCAAGCTTGGTGTCAATAACCAATTTTAGACATGTAAGCTCAGGCCTTCACGAGCCGAGCCAAAGACAATTTTAGACATGTAAGCTTAGGTCTTCACGAGCCGAGCCAAAGACCCCTGAAAGGCCTCTGATTTGTTTAGCACCCCTAAGACTAGCTACGTATATATAACATTTTGCTAATTTTACCACGTAAAATAAAACTATGTAAGTAAAGGGTAATAATGAGACTCAAAATATCATAATAGTAAAGTGACGTTAGTTTTGTTATAAAAAAAAAAAAAAAAAAGTGACGTTAGTTTTAATATAAGAAAAATTTGATGTTGAGTTAATTCCCGACGAATGTCAATGTATATTTTTAATAGTAAATTGCATTATATTATTATGGAGAATGTTATATTTACAATTTTCTTTTTTGTTTATAAATCATATTATGTACTCTGGGAAATACACTCGTAAATCAGTGTACTCTCCAGAATACATAATTTAGTTTATAAATAAAAAATTTGTAAATATAATATTGTTTTACCATCATATATAATTTGTAGTTTTATTGTATACTTTTATCCTAACTTATCCTATTGAGGACATTGCACCTTAATTTATCATATCTAACGTAACATTTCCTTTTGTTATCAAAATTGAAAATTCAGTAGTAAATCATTATGCATGAATAAAAATACACTTTTTTTAATCTTTAATATATCTTTGGTTTAAGTTAATCTCACTCATAAAGAGTTAACACTCATGTAATTGCTGGGTTCTCTACTCCTAATTACACGACCTTTGACCTCTACGTATTTTTCCAAATTTGCACAGTTTCATTCTGTGTCCCTCTCAGAGCACTAACTATGGTATAAAGAACAGTTTGGTTTCAATTCCCCATGTAACTTTATCAAACAATTTTATTGCTTGAGTTCACTCAAAAATTAAGCAACTCAAATATATTATTGCGGTTGCTCGAGAACTGACTATTTGTTGGGTCAGTCTCTAAACCTTCTTCTCAAGTAATTGAGCGTAGAGCCAGAACTAGCCACAGCATCAAGAATGTCATCCAGCACACGAGGGCCCATCATAA